TGCAGGAGGTGCCCCCTGGTGGTCAGTGCACTCCCACAGCAAGAGCACCACTCCGCTGACCAATGGGAACCAGAGGCGGGACTCACAGCTGGCGAGTGCTGCTATGGCGGCGGTGCGAGCCTCTCCCTATCGGGACTGACCGGGTGTGAGCCCACAGCAGGCGCAGCGGGGCCAGGATGAGCAGGAGCGGCAGGCAGCGTTGGACTGCCAGTTTCTGCCTTATCCCTGCAGGCCACGCCGAGGGACCCCACTGGTGCACATATTCATGCACCAGGCCTCTAGTGTATATCTGCGGCTGCTTTGGAGCTGTGATGCCAGAGTTCAGTAATTGTAACAGACTATTTGGCCTATAAAGTCAAAATATTTTCTATATGACCTTTTGTAAAAAAAAAAAAAAAAAAAGTTTCCGACTCAATCTTTTTGAAGGAGCAGCTTTTGGCTTAGTTGTGGTGTGTGTGTGTGTGTGTGTGTGTGTGTGTGTGTGTGTGTTCTGTTTCACAGTTTATTTTATTGTTCTTTTCTAATTTAAGTTGTGTGCTTAGTTCATTAATGTCCAGCTCTTCTTCTTTTCTAAGGAAGCAATTAAGGCCATAAATTCTTACTATTTATTGTATTAGCATTATTCGAAATTGTGATATGAGGTTACTATTTTTCCTAATGATTTCTAACTGAATTACATTGTAGTCAGAGAGCATGGTTTGAATGCTGCCAACGCTTTAACTTTTGTTGAGATTTCAGTTATGGCCCATATGTAGTGAGGGTTTTTTATATATTTCTGCAGCTGTGATAGAGTGTTCTGTGTTTGTCTGTTTTAACAAGCTTATTAACTCTGTTATTCAAATTTTCTAGTCTTACTTTTTATTTTACTTGCTCTGACAATAACTGAGAGTTGTGTGTTAAAGTCACCTACTGTGATTGTGGAGTTGTCTATTTCCCTATTTGTATTATGCAGTAACCTTATTAATCTTTAATAATGCATTTTTCTTTAAAAATTTATTTTCCTTGATATTAATATAGATACATGTGTTTTCTTTTTGTTAGTAATTGCTGTTAGATCTTTTTTCTATCCTTTGACTTTTCAGTCATTCCTAATCCATGTTTTAGAGACATCTCTTATAAATACCAATAGTTGGATTTTTAAAAAAAATCCAGCCTTATATTCTTTATCTTTTAACTAGAACATTTGGTTCATTTACATTTATTATAGTGACTAATATATTGAATTTATTTCCATTGAGTTGTTTTGTATCTCTTCCCCTTCCCAACTCTTTATATCTCAGATTGACCATCTGGAATAAGTTAATTTTAGCCTGAAGTGCATCATGTAGAATTTCCTTAATAAAGGTCTGCTGATGGCAAACTATGTCCTTCCCCACCCCGCTAGAAATTATTTTTATTTTGCCCTGATTCTATTTTTTTTTTTAATCCTCACTCCAGGACATGCTTATTGATTCTTTAGAGTGAGAGGAGAGGGGAGAAAGATAGAAACATCAGTGTCAAAGAGCAACATAGATTGATTGCTTTCCTAGATCCTCAGCCTGGGTATGTGTCCTGACTGGGAATTGACCCCCCAACCTCCCCATGTAGGGACGATGCTCCAACCGAGCCACTGGCCAGGGCTGCCCTGATTCTTAACTGACATTTATTCTGGGTGTTCTATATTGTCAGTGATTTTCCCTAGTAATTGAAGATACCACTTCCTTGGCTTTTGGTTTTCATTTTTGTGTTTAGAACAGGGGTCCTCAAACTTTTTAAACAGGGGGCCAGTTCACTGTCCCTCAGACCATTGGAGGGCTGGACAATAGTTTAAAAAAAAACTGAACAAATTCCTGTGCACACTGCACATATCTTATTTTGAAGTAAAAAAACAAAACGGGAACAAATACAATATTTGTATTTGCATGTGGCCCGCGGGCCGTAGTTTGAGGACCCCTGGGTTAGAAGTGAATGGTTATCTGACTGTCGTCTGCGTTTGGACTCTTCGTTTGCCTCTGCCCCAATTTTTTCTCTCCTCCTCATTTCTCAGTTTTCCTGTTTTGTTTGTTTGTTTGACTCTAGTACTCTTCAGTCATATTTGCAACTTTTATTTCTTTAAATGAAGTCTTTAAGGTTCTGATCCTGTTACCTGTTGTTCCTCCTGATTTTTACTTTTGATGCTTATGGCGGGGTGGTGGTTTGGGTGTTTTATGATTTCTGTCTGTGAACTCATTTTTCTTGGAAGTGTAGGATTGTTTTGAGGCCTGGGAAGAAAATGGACTCTCCTAGAGGTATTTGCTTTTGATTTTACCAGGCATCTGTACTCTGCACACTACAACTCTGGGACCCTGTGCAGACACAATCACAGCCTCCGTAGTGTGAATGAGGGCTGAAGTCTGAGGGCTGATTTGGGGTTAGGAAACCTCAAGAGAGCATCTCTGTTCTCTCCCACTCAGTAACCAGGTTCAAGACAGGTAATTCCCCTGCTCTGCCCCTGGGGGTGCAGGTGTATTTCCAAGTCAGCCTTGCATTGGGTGTATAGTGCTTAGTGATTTCAGCTTATGGAGGAGAGGTCTTAGACTCCGCGCCTTCGATGGGTCCTGAGTATTCCCTCCACACTCACTTTTCCTCTCACCACTCTCCCTCCGCTCTCACCAGCCCCACGAGGCTGTGAAGGTTGAAGCTCAAGTTCATCTGGTTTAGTAACTGTCCCTAATGTACTCCTTTGAGATACTGTCCTCATTCATTTTGACCTGAACAGTCCTTATTGTTGTACTGGCCCATTGATGTATTTATTTAAGGTCATGTTTTCCCTCTGTTTTATCCAGAAATTTTAGTTATCTGGGAGAGGGGCTGTTCATGGTACCTAGCTGTCCCTGTGCTGGAGACGAAAATCTTGATTGCTGTTGAGCCTCCCTGTCACCCAGCATTCACCTGGCATTTTATGCCAACAACATTGAGCCCAGAGTCACAATCATTTGATTGCTAAAGGTTATAATTTGAACTACCAGCAAAGAGAATTTTTTAAGTCTGGTTATGATAGAAAGCTAAGTTTAAGAAAATTTTTACATCAAGTTATGAATGGAATTTTGGTATTTTTATCCACGAAAAGAGGAAGCGGAGGAGTAAGTAAAACAATTAGGGAGAATATCTTATTTCATACTTCAACAAAATTAGAAACTTAGAATTTAAAAAAATTAGCATTGTGATCCAGTCTGCGACTACTGTTTTGGAGTATTTGTATCGTTTTTTAAAAATAGAATTGTCGTTGATTTAATTATTAGTGCCTAGGAGCATGTAATCTATAAAACACTGACAGAAAATACATTTTTGACGGGGAAGTTTGATGCTCATCTTCTTACTACAACTTGGACTGGGTTATAGTTATTTCTCTAGCCTCAGATTTTACCAGAAAACTCCCTGAGGGCCCAGAAAGTTCAGTCTACCTTTTTGGTTGATTGGAGCCTGAATTTAATAACAAAGAATGTTATGCTTGTTTTTCTTAGTTTCTGGTAGGATGATGGGAGGAATGCTAGAACATTGTTTTCCGTTTATATTGAAAAGTTATTTTCTTTGGTTGTGCATAAGCTGGTTCTTCTGAAATGTTATCAATTAGTATTTAAATCAACCTCATTCTGGACATTTATACTACCCCAAGTTTTTTTTACTAATCTTTACTGAGCATCTAACCCATGCCAGATGCTGATGTCAGCAAGCCAAGTCTCTGTCTTAATACATGATAAAAGTAAAAAATACAGCATATGTAAGTGAACAAAGATTACAAGAGTGCATTCACATGTATATGCTTATATGTACACAGAGAAATACTGGAACCATACATTAAAATATTAAGTCATTCTGGGTGGTTGCATGCTGTATTTATTGTCTTCTTTTGCTTCTCCGTATTTTTTTAAAAATTTAAGAAAAAACGGTTGTTAATAAAGTGGGATGCTTGTGTGGGGAGAAACAGTAAACGCCCGATTTCTTACAAAAGAAAAACAAGAACTAACACTCACAACAGCCTGTTCCGGGTGTGTCTCTCATTACCTCCTGTTGTATCACCACCTTTGCGGTGGCGATGTATCCCTGTGGGGCCCTGAGAAGACTGAGGCTCTGAGCTGTTACATGTCCAGCACCCCACAGCTGGTGAGTGACGGAGCAGAACCTATCCCAGACCTGTCTGCCCCAAACCCTGTTCTCCTCTTGCCCCCAATCATGCCTTGAATGAGTATGTTTCTTGCTTTTAAAATAAGCCTAATATTAAATTAACCCTTGGCAATTCCCTACATCTATTTAAATTGACAAATTATGTGAAAAAACGTTCTAGCTTATAAAACTATTACAGGTTTTGAGTTTTGGATAACATTTGCTATTTTAAATTTTACTACAGGGTGTTTGGTCACTAGTAACTCTGTATTGGCAATGTTTAACTCTTGGGTGAGAGAATAGAATTAGGTGAGTCTCAACGACTCTAAGACCTTGCTTTTCCATTGTAGTCCTAATTTGTGATAACTATTCGAAATGATTTGGTAAATACTTAACTAAAATCATTTAATTTTTATTCCTTCAGGAATTTTTATGTCAGTTCGCATTGAAAAAAAAACTTCTAGACCATGTATACTCACTTTTAGTTAGGGAAATATTATCACCTTATCACATAGTGAAATCCCGTGGTTTTTCATAAGGAAAATGAGATGCAGACATTTTTACTTTTTATTTTGATTTTGCTTATTTTCCATAAACTCTCATACCTGAACAAAAATAAATAAAGCGTGTAAACAAATAACCCTACGGTGACTAATTTGGTTACTTTGAGTCCTGAGAGAGGATAGGTACTTGATTTTCTTTGGAAATTAGGCATTAGGCCTAATTAGGAATAAAGACCTTCATGATTTTTTATAAATTCTGATTTCATTATATATTGATATGACATGTTTATATTCTATTCTTAAGTGAAATGTTTTATATGTCGACAAATTGAAATACAGATGTTTCTGGTTTTAAAAACTCTATTTGATCCGCAGCTCACTGTTAACGAAGCGGCTGCTCAGCTCTGTGTGAAGGATAATGCTCTCCTGACGAGAAGGGACGAACTTTTCGCGCTGGCGAGGCAGATTTCTCGAGAAGTCACCTATAAATACACGTACAGAACCACCAAGTAAGTTTCACTCATTGGCAGCACTTTCGCATTTTTTGAGAGAAGTAGAGCTTGAAATACCAACCATTTGATAGTATATAAATGAGCATTTCTGAAAACAGTGTGATTATAGTTCAACTAGAGGCCCGGTGCACAAAAATTCATGCACTCGGGGAGGGTCCCTCAGCCCAGCCTGTGCCCTCTCACAATCCGGGACCTTCGGGTAGGTCCCTAGGCCTGGCCTGAGATCAGGGCCTATCAGGGCTTTCCTTCCCCCGGCTGTAGGCAGCTGGCCCCACTGCTTGCCATCTGTGCAGCGCTGCGCCCCCTCCCCTGCCATCGGTGGCCTCCCTCTGCAGGCAACAGGCTGGGGTGTGATGGCTTGGCTGGCCTGGGCCTCCCTCTTTCTTTGCTGGGGGGTGGGGCCAGCCCTGTGAGGGGCCGTCTGCCTACCTGATCGCCCCTAACTGCTGGCCTGCCTACCTGATCACCCCTAACCCCTTGCCTGCCTACCTGATCACCCCTAACCACTGCTCTGCCTACCTGATCCCCCTAACCACTCTGCCTGCCTACCTCATTGCCCCTAACCGCTTGCTTGGGGGCCGGGCCAGCCCTGTGAGGGGCCGTCTGCCTACCTGGTCTCTTCTAACCACTTGTCTGCCTACCTGATTGCCCCTAATTACTTGCCTGCCTGCCTGATTGTCCCTAACCACTTGCTTGGGGGCGGGGCTATCCCAGCGAGGGGCCATCTGCCTACCTGATCACCCTTAACTGCTGGCCTGCCTACCTGATCACCCCTAACCACCTGCCTGCCTACCTCATCTCCCCTAACCACTCTGTCTGCCTGCCTGATTGCCTCTAACCATTGCTTGGCATTGCCAGCCTGGCTGGCATGGCTCAGTGGTTGACCGTCAGGGGACATGCCTAGATTGCGGGCTTAATCCCCAGCATGGGGCTGCAGGAGGCAGCCGATCAATGATTTTCTCTCATCATTGATGTTTCTCTCTGTCCCTCTCCCTTCCTCTCTGAAATCAATAAAAATATTAAAACAAAACAAAACAAAAAATATTGCCAGTGTTTTTTGTTGTTTTGTTTAACTCTCTTTGTCTTTCTTTAAAACAAAAAGCAGTTCCCTGGCACTATGACACTGTTCTGGTGGGCTTCAGACAGTCCCTCATGCAGATGCTTGGGCTGTGAGTGATGATGGGGTTTAGTCAGTCAGCATTATAGCCTGATCTGGACACCACTCACTGTATGAACTGAACTGAGAGGAAGAAGCAGGCTAGTTCCTCTTGCGAGGTGTTTTGAGATGAGCTGAATAAGTAAAAAGAATCCATTGACCAGTATTTAAGGGAAATTGGAAGATACTTTTATTACTAGCAAGTGGAATGTGGAACATGTGTTTGAAGGGAAAAAAAACTAATGTTAAAAAACAATGATGGTTCTCAAATGTAAACACTCCTCACGAGCTCTAAGCACTGTCTGTGGGTGTAGTGCCCCTCGACTTTGCCCCCTCGGTTCCACGTGGTCCCTGGCTCCCAGTGCCCATCCTTGGTGCATGCCCCTGCGGCTCTGAGCACTTGCAGATGGCCACCCACGTGACAGTGACGGAGCCTGTGCTGAGCCACATCCTCTGCACCCTACCCGGCCCTAATAAATCACCGTCTCTGGGGACAGAGCCGTGGGATTTAAACGACACGCATCCAGACGATCCTGTGCACATCCAAGTCTGAAAACCCCCTCCTGGTTGTCATCGCCATTGTTTTTCCAAACTCAGAGCGCTTCTCGCCACTGGAGCTCACATATTTACAAAGTGACAACAACTGAAATTATGCAGACTAATGAGCAGGGTAACAATATACAGCAATATTATAGGATCACTTACAAGATTTTTTTTGGGAGTTAGTTAATCAAGAGCTGATTTAGTGATTTTTTAAATTTTCTTTACTGTATTATACAAAATTTTCCTTCTGATTGCTTTATTTAAATAATTTTCTTGAATCAAAGTAATATGTGTCCTTGATTTAAGAAGTCATATAGTGGCCGAAACCGGTTTGGCTCAGTGGATAGAGCGTCGGCCTGCGGACTGAAGGGTCCCAGGTTCGATTCCGGTCGGGGGCATGTACCTGGGTTGTGGGCATATCCCCAGTGGGGGATGTGCAGGAGGCAGCTGATCGATGTTTCTCTGATGTTTCTAACTCTCTATCTCTCTCCCTTCCTCTCTGTAAAAAATCAATAAAATATATTAAAAAAAAAAAAAGAAGTCATATAGTGCACAAGGTTTACAATGGAACTCAGCAGTTCTCCTGTTAACCCTATCTCTCTTTCCCCTTCTTAATATGGCCTCTACAGGCAATTACTTTCAACAATTTTTAGCCGTTTTTTGTAGTATTTGTATTTCTTTTTTAAGTTAAATATATTTCAAAATACATAACACTTCTATATAATTTAGAAGACAAAACTATGTAAATAGGTAATATAAAAAAGTTGCACTCCCGTTCCTGTCTCATTTTACCTTGTTTTTCTCCTCAATGTAGATAGCTTTTTAAGTGTTTTTTATATCTTTGCAGTGTTTATGTACATGCAAAAAAATATGGTTTCTCATTTTCACCTTTTTAAAAAAACACACAATAGGTAGCATGTGTCTATATTATTCTATATTTCGCTCTTATTTAAACACTAGAGGCCCGTGGGGTCCCTCTGCCTGGCCTCCAGGATTGGGCTGAAACTGGCTCTCCGACATCCCCCAAGGGGTCCCGGATTGCGAAAGGGTGCAGGCCAGGCCGAGGTGCACGATCAGGCCAGCCAGGGAGGGACGGCGGCAGGGCTCCAGGGCGTGTCCGGCTTATCTCGCTCAATCCAAATCTGCCGGACCCCAGCAGCAAGCTAATCTACCGGTTGGAGCATCTGCCCCCTGGTGGTCAGTACCCGTCACAGCGAGCGGTTGAGCAACCTTAGCATATTATTAGCATGTTACACTTTGATTGGTTGAACGGACGACCGGACCCTTAGCATATTAGGCTTTTATTATATAGGAAGTCTTGGAGTTCTCTCTCTATATATATTAGTACATATACATCTTCCTCATTATTTTTTACATTGATGTATCATGATTCATTTACCCAGTACCCTACTGATGGATACCTAGGTTGTTTCTAGTCTTTTTCAATATAAATAATACCACAGTAAATAACTATGCATACCTTTCTGAAGTTCACGTTTTTGACACTAACATCTTTTATATCAGGGGTGGGGAACCTTCTTTCTGCCAAGGGCCATTTGGGTATTTATAACATCATTTGCGGGCCATACAGAATTATCAGTTTAAAAATTAGCCTGCTAAATTTGGTCAGACATTTAATTAAGTCACCCCAATGCCTTGGCAGGGCCAGACCAAATGATTTCTCATGCCTCATATGGCTCGCGGGCCAGATGTTCCCCACCCGTTTTACATGAAAGTGTAGCAGAATTGATGGCTCGCCATAGTGCAGTCGGCAGTAGCAGTTCACGTATGTGTAAGGCCTCTGTGGGCTAGGTTCCCAGCAGAGGGATCTCTAGGTGAAGGGGGAGTGCGTTGTTGTCTCGGTAGGTAGATAAAAAAGCATTTCAATCTCATGTCGCTTCAGGTATTCATCTTAAATGGCCATTGTTGTCATTTTGTCCTAAATTATTTCTACTGAACCATAAAGGGATATTATGGAATACAATCCTCAATTTTTTTCCCTTTTTCATTATGTGATAATCATTATATACTTATTGAGTACTTTCTGTGTGAGGAATTCTAAATAGTATACATCTTTAAAAATGTATATTAATTGCATATGCATCTTTCAGTGTTAATTTAAAAATGAAAAATCTAGTTTTCCTCATTTCAGTGTTCGTTATGCATGTCTTACTTTTGGTGTCAGGTTTCAGGGTTACATGTTTCGGTGGAAGTTTATAGATTAAGATGTCTCTAGAATAAAATTTCTTACCTTCTCAAGTTTGTCTCTCTCTCCCATTCCCCTCAGGTCAAAATGTGGAGAAAGAGATGAATTATCCCCGAAGAGAATTAAAGTGGAGGTATGATTATGTTCTTTTCTTTTCTTATGTTAATAATGTTTGCTTTAGTAGTTTAAAGTAAGAAAAAGGATGGTGCCATAAACTAGTGAAAAATGTGAAATGCAGTATCTTAAAAGCAATATATAATTTTTTTGCTTTGACGTGTCTATGGTCATTTGAACTAGAATCCTGAGGAAGTTCTCAGAAAGAAACAACAATGATAAGATGGATGTCCAGTCGGTTTATCAAAGGTTGATTTGTAAATAGGTGTTTTTTACAGATTTTAAACTCTACAGGTTAAACTATTTTTTAATCTTATTTACAACATAAGTCACCTTATTAAGTATTTTTAAAGGAGCTAAGATTTAATTTCTTTACATTAACTACCTGAGGGAAATGACAATTTAGTAGGTGCAAATTATAGAGACTTCAGTGTAATTAAAGCCTCTTTTAGGGGGCATGTTTGAGGCTGTCCTGATTTTAGACCTGCCAGCGGGAAGGTGGGAGTTAAGCAAGAACAATGTGCTTCTCTCGGGGCTCTCAGAGCTCAGAAGGTTTCAGAACGCGTTCCTTAATTTGGACTGATACAGCAGTTCCCCTCTGCGCAGCCATGCTTTCACTTTCCATGGTTTCAGTTACCTGTGGTCTCAGTTTCCCACCGTCAGCTGCAGTCCAGAAATATTAAATGGGAAATTCCAGAAATAAACAACTCACAAGTTTTAAATTCTGCACCGTTCTGACTAGCGTGATGAGATCTCGCTCTTTCCCCCCTGGGAGGTGAAACGTGCCTCTGTCCGGAGTACCCAGGCTGTGTATACTCTGCCCCTGAGTCCCGTGGCCGCCTCGGTTATCGAGTGACTGACAGCATCCCCGTGCTTCTGTGCAAGGAGCCCTCATTTGACTTAATAATGAATGCGGAGTGCAAGAGCAGTGATGTTGGCAGTTCAGATACACCAAAGAGAAGCAGTAAAAGGCGTCCCTTAAGTGAAAAGGTGAAAGCTCTCAACTTAAGAGGAAAGAAAAAAAATTCATATGCTGATGTTGCTAAGATCTACAGTAAGAACCAATTTTTTTAACTGTGAAATTGTGGGTAGAAAAAAGAAATTTGTGTTAACTTTGCTGTTGTACCTTAAGCTGCAAACGTTATGGCCACAGTGCGAGGTAAGTGCTTAGATACGATGGAAAAGGCATTACAGTTGTGGGTGGAAGACATGAGCAGAAAGTGTGTTTCAATTGATGGCAGTGTGTTGCACCAGAAAGCGCTGAGCCAACACGCAGACTTCAGTGAGGGATCTCCTGAAATGACTGACACCAGCCACTTACTGCAAATAGGGATGGTCATACAGATTGAGGACTAAGTTTAGGCTGAAAAATATACAAATTACTGGGAACGGAGGGAGGGAGGGAGGAGGAAGAGACCACATTCACATAACCGTTATTACAGTCTGTTGTTACACTTATTCTTTTTTAATAGTACTTGTTGTTAATCTCTTACTGTGCCTGATTTATAAATTAGACTTTATAATAGGTATGTATGTGTAGGAAAAACACAGCACGTACAGGATTCAGTGCTCTCTGGTTTCAGGCACCCGCTGGGGGTCTTGGGATGTGTTCCCTGTGAACAGGGTGGGGCTGCTGTACTTTCTTAGGGTCCAGTCAGTAGCAGAGGAGATATTTTGAAGTCCGGTGGCACCTTCCTTGTTTTCTTGGGTAGGAGGGCTCGGTGCTCGTAGCCATCCATTATTGGATTTCAAGGTAAAGCAAATAAGCTATGTTTGACTACCCTAAATATCTATCCTCAAGTAAGATCTGTTTGTATTGGAACAGTCCGTCATTTATACCAAAGCCACAGTTCACAGTTACCCTTTAAAAACATAAATCCCTTTTTTGCTTACATCTCTCCAGTGGCTGTCTACTGAGAATAAAATCTACACTTTTCCCTTAGGCATCTAAAACCCTACAGATCTGACTCTGGGTGGCGTCTCTGACCTCATCTGCTACCACACCTCTTGTTGTGTCGTCCCCCCCCCCCCCCCCAAAAAAAAACCCCATGGACCAGTTTTCTGTTCCTGGAACATGCCAGACTCACTTGTGCCTCCGCATCAGTTCTCTCTGCCCAGATCTCACGATAGTCACTTGGTCTCCTCTGACTCCACTGCCTCCCTTTCTAAAAGGAACACCCTTCCCCCAAATCATTTAGGCTCGTTCTCATGGTTTGCTTAGTTTGTTTTCCTACCACTCTTCAGTATCTGGAACTAGTATATATTTGTTTTAAATTTATTATCAGTCTGCACCATTAAATGTGAATAGAGCTTCTATCTGTCTCTCCAGCATATCTTAATACTGAATTTAGAAGAGTGGCTTACACTTGGTAGGCATTTAATAAAATCTGTTAGATGAAATGATGAGTAGCTATGGATGAGCATCTTTGACTTGTAAAACCTTTAGCCTAAACCCACACCATCTGCTGCCTCTGCTGAGGATCGAGCCTGCCATCAGGCCTGTGCCTGACCAGGAGCCCCCGACACCCTTTGGTGCACGGGACGATGCTCAACCCCCTGAGCCACACCTGTCAGGGCTGAGCTTCCTCTAGTAGCATGGAGTATTAGGTTGTAGCATTAGAAGTGGCCCTTCTACTCCTTTAGAAATAGTCCACTAGAGATGATGGAATTAGAGTTCCGTATGGTTGGTTGGTTGATGTACTGCAGTTCACAAAGCTCTTTGAATAGTTCTCAATTTAGAATTAAGATAATCAGCCCAGCCAGCGTGACTTAGTGGTTGAGTGTCAACCTATGAACCAGGAGGTTATGGTTTGATTCCGGTCAGGGCACATGCCCGGGTTGTGGGCTCCATCCCATGTGGGGCATGCAGTCTGCAGGCATGGTGATGCTCTATCCACTGAGCCAAACTGGCTAGGCCTATTGGTTTGTTTTTAATTTTTTTTTTAACTTAGTTTTTTTAAAAGCACTCATGTACGGTAGATATCAGTATCTCTTCATTGTGCGGTGTGTTGTATATATGTGTGTATACCTACACGCACATATAGTGTAACTAAAGGCCTGGTGCACGAATTTGTGCATCAGTGGGGTCCCTCGGTCTGGCCTGCGGGATTGGGCCAAAACCAGCTCTCCGATATCCCTCATTGTGAGAGGGTGCAGGCCAAGCTGAGGGACCCCACTGGTGCACAATTGGGGCTGGGGAAGGATGCGGGAGGTTGGCCAGCTGAGGAGGGACCATGGGAAGGCTCCAGAACGTGTCCGGCCGTCTCACTCAGTTCCAATCAGCTGGACCCCAGCAGCAAGGTAACCTACCGGTCGGAGCATCTACCCCCTGGTGGTCAGTGCATGTCATAGCGACTGATCAACCGGTCAACTGTTTGCCTCCTGGTGGTCAGTGCACATCAGAGTGAGCAGTCGAGCAGCCTTATATCATTAGCACACTAGAGGCCCGATGCACGAAATTCACGCAAGGGGCTCAACCCTCGCAGCCCCAGCTTCGTCTAGAAGGTTGTTCGGCTGTCCGGTCCAATTAGCATATTATGCTTTTATTATTATAGATTATGCTTTGATTGGTTGAACAGATGACCGGACACTTAGCATATTAGGCTTTTATTATATAGGATTCTTTTCGAAATATACAATGTTGGCATAAGTCGTTGCCTACATTTTTCTGTGTACTCTAAGTCAAATTAGAGGTTCTAGAACTGTTTGTTTGGTTTGGAAAGCTGAGGCTGAGGTAGTAGTACTGGCTGTATAGGGTCACTACTACTCCCCTAAGACTTTTCCACATATTAGTGCTTTGTTTGTGTCTCCCTTTTGTGTGGCTCCTGAGGAGGGGAGAATTTCTGGCATGAGAAGAGATTAGGGAAAGTTCTATGGAGGAGACATCATTTGAGCTGGGTTTAAAAAGAAGGGTAGGATTTCAGAGGGTAGGAATGTGGGTTGGAGGTGGAGGGGCATTACAAAGACAGAGAGGTAAGAAAATACTGTGAGTGTTTAGAGAACATTGAGACCAGTTTGTCCAGAATATATGACTGACACAAAGGACTTCGTAAGTAAAACTAGATTTTAGAATTCTTTTAACATACTTGTTCATCTTATTTCATTTGAATATTTCTTTTGGGATTCTTAGCTTCCTGATTCTCTATTTAACAAAAGTAATAAAAAAATAAACTTAGTTTGTTGTAAAATACAACAGAGTCCTAATTATTGGGCCCAAATTAATGAGAATTTTTTTGTCTTTTCATCTTTATTTTTCCGAAGTCCTTGACAATGACGAATGAGCATACATGCCAAGTTGCTGACTTATTTTCATTTTAAAATTATAATTTTTACAGCGAACAAAAAGAAATGTAATGCCCAGTGGATAAAATAGAAATGACATCATAATAGACATGTAAGGGAAAGAAAAACATTTTCTTCTGTGCCATTACCAGCACATTATGATACACCAGTGAACTACGCCAGTGCCGTGTTCAGGCTCAGTCAGATGCTTTCTTGTTGCTGACTGCTTTCTGTTCCTGATCTCTTCGTGAAGGGCTGAGGGGGATGAAGTTTTTAAATCCTTGTCTGATTTTCCCCATTATGTTCTAGGTGGCTCCCCTTGAGGATAGTTAGTTGTTTGGTGTTACTGTTGGTGGTGTTGATGGTCGGTGTGCATGTTATGTCAAAGTATAATTGCTAGAAGGCATGAGGAGACCCCGAGGAAGACGCCTTCTCATGGGGAACCTGAGGGGAACCCTGACTTGGAGTGAGGTCTCTACGGGAGGCTCCTCCTCCTCCTCCCTCTGTCAGCGAGCGAGGTCTGGCCATCCTTCTCCTCCCCAGGCTACGGAACAGCTGCCCACCCGGGTGGCCGCCCTGTGTGTGAGTCCTCTTTCAGCTGACGTGAACATGGGTCAGAGGCCCCAAATCTAGCTCTGGGGACATGGTAACATAGCTACTTTGTTACTGAATCTGTTATGTGCCTGTCCCTCTATGCCAGTGATGGCGAACCTTTTGAGCTCGGCGTGTCAGCATTTGGAAAAACCCTAACTTAACTCTGGTGCCGTGTCACATATAGAAATTGTTTGATCTTTGCAACCATAGTAAGACAAAGATTTATATTTTTGATATTTATTTTATATATTTAAATGCTGTTTAACAAAAATCAACCAAAAAAATGAGTTCGCGTGTCACCTCTGACACGCGTGTCATAGGTTCGCCATCACTGCTCTAGGCATTTGAAATTCATTGTCACAAGCCTTCTTGTCTACCCTCTAGGAGGCTTTGTGATTTCCACTTTACAGCAAGGAGAGGCCCAGAAAGGCTCAGGAACTTGCCCAAGTTGCCACATTGCTGCCTGGTGGCAGAGCCAGGCCTTCCAATCTCGGTCTGATTCCTAAACTTCAGAGCAGAGGCCATTCACAAAGCGCCTTCGGTGTGAAGCACACCACGTACTGGCATTATACTTCCCACTGGTGCGCCATGGAGGCCAGTGCGCAGAGAAGAGTGGCAGCTACCATTTCCTTTTCCAAGGAAGCTTCTCTGGGAAACAGTGATAGGGTTTGAGGAGAAAACGTAATGTAAATTACAACACAAATAATATAAACTTAGCCTAAATTACAAACACTTAATATAAATATAAGGCATTACCATGTGACACACTAATTGTTTTGGGTGAGGAAAAACCGCGTTGGGAAGATAAATAGTAAATAAAAAATTAGCTTGCTTTGTTTATATTGTACTTATGACAGAAAGGATTTAAGACGGCTTGACAACTAGCAAAGGAGATGAAACATCAAGAGGCCAAGGCCCTGGCACTTTTACCTCCACCTCATTTTTTTGAAACATTAGTTAAAAGTGGATTCGGTTGCTAACCTTTTTCATAAAGAACGTGTTGCACTCCATGAACAAACCCTGTCATGCGTCCAGTGTTACAAGTGATATCTTAGGAGGAGGGAAGAAGATGGAAAAGCCGGGCTCGACTGGCGTGCTAGCTGACTACATGGGCTGTTACTGTTCAGATCTCGGCTGTGAGTTTTCTTGTTTCACTGAAATTGCTGGAGACGGGGCAGAGAGCTGGGAGGTACCGCATTCTTGATCCTGTGTGGGCTGGGAGTGCAGAGCAATCAGCGATGAGTGGATGAGAGAAGTGAAGTTTGTTAATCGAGGCCAGAAAGTCAGAGAATTGGGGCTTAAAGAAGAAAGCCTCAGGAAACATCTGCCACAGCTCCCGTGGGCGGGGGAGGGAGCCGCGGGAGGGGGAGAGGATCAGAACCCACCCACACCGTCACTGAGCCTGCTGAAGAGGAAGCTGGTCTAATTTGATGTCGATTCTTCCCCTCTGGATCAGAAAACAGAAGCCTTACAATCTGCTATTCATACAGAAAGTGTGAGTAGAAAAAAGGAAAATGCACGTGTGAGGCTGAGAGCATCTGCTGGGTGCGTCAGTTAAAGACGGCTCAGCAGTACATGGAGGCAGCTTGCTCGTGTTCAGTGGGAAGGTTGAGGGGTGGGGGTGAGGGTACTGAGGTCACAAACAGCACCCCACCCTGCATCTCCTGTTTTCTCAGTGCTCAGACGCAGAGCCTCGCCACTGAGGGCGTGCTGTGATTAATGGCAGCAGCCAGGAATAGGACATGAAGATAAATGGCTCGTAGCATGGTACCTCTGGTTTCCTGGGGAAAAGCTGGAGAGACAGAACAAAAGTCCTGCCCCGCACATAATGCGAAGAGCCCAGGTCTGGGGCACGGTCTCCCTTTTATTTCTGAGTCATTCCTCTTGGGTCCTTTTGGGTCCCTGGGACGGCCTTTACATGTCATGAGTGACAGCTCCTCCACCCTGTAGTTTTCCCACCACACGAACTGACTGCCAGAGGCTGTGGGGCACCATCAGAAGGCCCGGCTGCTGGGCTTAGGAACCTAAGTGGTGGGCCTGGAACATGGACCAGGTCTTTCTAATCCAAAGCTCCACCGCCTGGCAGTGAAGGTCCAGAGAAATCACACGCGACGTGGAAGAGTCCCTCAGAAATTCAGATGGAGACTATTGGGTAGCACCTTAAAGAAAGTTTACTTTGGATCTTTACCACATTGCATTTAACAAAATAAATTCCTGGTGGGTTAGAGATTAACCACACACACACACACACACACACACACACACACAAATAAAGGCTTAGAAAAACTAGAGGGTAGATTTGAATACTTATCAAATCTCTAAAGCAGAATCCTTTTCTAAACTTTATAGCAACAGAAGAAATCACAAAATAAAACACAATTATATGCAACTACAGTATATAAAACCTAAATTTTTGAATATCAAAACAAAAATAAATTGGCAAAAACTGAGAAAGCAACACCACCCAGTGCTGGCCAGAACTGTCAGATTTTGCTTACTAGAGGCCCGATGCATGGAATTTGTGCAAGAGTAGGCCTTCCTTCCCCCGGCTGCCAGCACTGGCTTCCCTCCAGCACCCGGGACCCAGGCTTCCCTCACAGAGGGAGGCCCCGCCCACCCACCACAGCCCGCCAATCAGTCGCAGCCACGGCGGCTTGCCTCTACCCTCACAGTCCCGGCTTCATCCAGAAAGTCATTCAGCTGTCCACTCTAATTAGCATATTACAGTTTTATTATAGACGAGAGGCATGGTGCACGAAATTTGTGTGTGTGTGTGTGTGTGTGTGTGTGTGGTGTTCCTCAGCCTGGCCTGCATCCTCTCCAATCTGGGACCCCTCGGGGGATGTCTGACTGCCGGTCCCTGCAGGATCGGGCCTGAACCGGCAGTCGGACATCCCTCTCACAATCTGGGACTGCTGGCTCCTAACCACTTGCCTGCCTGCCTGATTGCCCCTGTTTCTGCCTGCCAGCCTGATCGCCCCCTAACCACTCCCCTGTTGGCCTGATTCACGCCTAACTGCTCCCCTGCTGGCCTGATTGCCCACAACTGCCCTCGCCTGCCGCGACCCACCTCCTCCATGCCACATGGAGCCACGGGAGCTGCAGCCTCACTGTGCAGAGTAGCCACCGGGCCCTGTCTCTGCTGTACGTGCAGCCATCTTGTGGCGGGATCGCACGCAAGGGCACTAGGACCACCTAGGCTTTTATTAGTATAGATGATATGGCAAACCAGTGAAAGGCCCTTGTAGAAAGTATGCGGAAAACATAAAAATGCTCATCTCTCTGCAGTAATTCTACTTCTGGGAATCTCTGAACTATGTGAAATACTATTTCCATGGAAATATTTTTGCAGTGTTTTTCAAACCAAAAATAAGGAAAATAATATAAATGTCCAATATGGGGATAGTGGTTAAGTAAGCAAATCACTAGATGAAAAGTTATATGAAATGTTATATAACCATTATTATCATGGATCATGAATTCTGCCTTCCAATGTAAAATAGTATGGATGTATAAATCTTTTTATCTTTTTCATTTATGTTTTTATTGAGGTTACAACTGTAGAATAAGGTAGTTGTACCATAAAAGACAGAAATGAAACATTGTGCATTGAAATCTTACTTAAGGTGGTTGTCTTTGCTTTATTTTCTGAGCTTTAGATCATGTTTATTTATTTAGAAATTCTAAGTAAAAAAGGACTTATTCTTCGATCTACAGGATGGGTTTCCAGATTTCCAGGACTCTGTGCAAACCCTCTTCCAGCAGGCTAAAGCTAAGAGCGAAGAACTCGCTGCTCTCAGTTCCCAGGTAGCGTAACCACCAGTTCATAGCTCATAAGAATATCTGTAAGTTGAAAAGTAAATGGCTGCTTCAACTGGCTCCAGTTTTAAGCATCCAAGGACTGAATTAATTTCTGGTTCTTAAAATGTCATCCGATCACAGCTGTGTCAACAAGATAGCAATAACAACTTGGTTTGCTTTGGTTGATGAGCAGAATCTTTTTGAGCAGAATGTGATACGGTGATACTTATTTATTCTTTGTAGTTTTGTAGGAAGTAAAATAGATTCTCTCCCTAAGAAAACCCAAAAGAAATAATTTGATACCAGTAAATCAGCCATCCTGACTATGTCTGTGTGAAATATAATTCTGAGATAAAATAGTACTAGTTTTCAATAAAATATTAATAGTCGACTTTATAGCTTTTGTTAATTATTTCAATTAATGTGTAGTAACAAGTGTTAATACGCAGCTTCAGGTACTTTTGCTATTATTTCATTATGTACACTGAAATTAACATTTTAAAAAGTCATTTCTGCAAACAGCACCTTTTGGAAAGTACTGTAAGTTTTATTCCGGCTGATCTTCTCCCTAGTGGATTAGTGGTGCCAAGTTTTGTTTTTCATGTTAAAAGGATGAAAAATATATTTCCCACTCAGAATTCTTACTGAAATTTTATCAGTTAATTCAAATGAATTGAAGTTATAATTTCTTTTGATCTGGTTTATGAGCATTCGGAAAAAATAGTAAAAAACTTGTATCCTATTCATTGAATTAATATATTTCCTATTGATTTTTACCATTTTGAATCAGGATTGTTTGTAAATGATTTTATATAGCAGTTTCCTTATATTACTCTTTTATATAGAATGGTAGTGATTCATGTCTATAATTTTTAACATCTTTTTATTGATTTCAGAGAGGAAGGGAGAGGGAGAGAGGGATAGATACATCAATAATAAGAGAGTCATTGATCTGCTGCCTCCTGTACGCCCCCCACTGTGGATTGA